GGTTTTAGATCCAGTCTTAATGGAAAGGCAATCACATTTAGGTAGAATAGAGGGAGTCCAGACCTGGTCATCCTGATCACTGTCAGGAAGAGGCTGAGCTGCGTGGCCGTTGGGAGTGGGCGGAGCTGACGGCGGTCGCCCTGACGACAAAGGTCGGGTGACGGAGATCCCGCCCTCTTTCCTCTGGTACTCAATGGGCGACTGGAGAGCTGTGAGATGTCAAACAAAAAGTTGAACTCAGATTAAATCTGGATGAAACTGAAGATTATTAGATCAGAATTAATCAGGATTTAATCCTAAGAATGCACAGCGGTGCTTGAAAGTTTGCGAACTCTTCAGAATTGTCTTTATTTCTGCATAAATCTGACCTAAAACATCATTAGTTTCACACATGTCCTAAAAGTAGACAAAGAGAACCCAGTTAAACAAACGAGACAAAAATATTGTACTTGGTCATTTATTTATTGAGGACAATGATCCAATATTACATATGAGTAAGTGGTTACAGTATGTGAACCTCTAGGATCAGCAGCTAATTTGAAGGTGAAGTTAGAATCAGGTGTTTTCAATCAATGGGATGATGATCAGGTGTGAGTGGACACCCTGTTTGATTTAAAGAACATGGATCTATCAAAGTCTGCTCTTCACAACATGTTTGTGGAAGTGGATCATGGCAGGAACAAAAGAGATTTCTGAGGACGTCAGAAAAAGAGTTGTTGATGCTCATCAGGCTGGAAAATGTTACAAAACCATCTCTAAAGAGTTTGGACTCCACCAATCCATAGCCAGACAGATTGTGGACAAATGGAGGACATTCAAGACCATTGTTACCCTCTCCAGGAGTGGTGGACCAACAAAGATCACTCCAAGAGCAAGGCGTGGAATAGTTGGCACAAAGGAGCTCAGAGTAACTTCTAACAACTGAAGGTCTCTCACATTGACTGATGTTAATCCAACAATTTTCAGTCAGTTTTTTTTTTTTTTTTGTGCTGAAATGTTTCTCCTTCCATCCAGAAGGCTTCATCAGTCAAGGAAACACATAACACAAAATTGATTCTTCCCCCAACAGCTTACTCCAAAGTGGAACAAACCAGTTATCTTGGTGCTAAGATGATCTCTTTGGCACACCTCCTCCTCCGGTGCCGGCCCTCGTCGGCAGTCATGTCAAACTGGTTCAAAACCAACAAAGTCCATGCTCAATAATCCAGGTATACAATCCAACAACTAATGTCGATGTTCATGAGTCCACCATGAGGAGAACACTGAACAACAATGATGTGCATGGCAGGGTAGAAGGAGGAAGCTGCTCTCCAAAAAACAACATGGCTGCTCATCTGCAGTTTGCTAAAGATCACGTGGACAAACCAGAAGACTGTTGGAAGAATGTTTAGTGGACGGATGCGACCAAAATAGAACTTTAAAAGCTTGAAGTTTGGAGAAATGAAAACTGCATTCCTGCATAGGAACCTTCTCCCATCTGTGAAACATGGTGGTGGTAGTATCATGGTTTAGGCCTGTTTTGCTGCATCTGGTCCAGGATGGCTGGACAACATTGATGGAACAATGAATTCTGAATTATATCAGAGGATTGTAAAGGAAAATGTCAGAACATCTGTCCATGAACTGAACCTCAACAGAAGGTGGGTCGTGCAGCGACAATGACTCTAAGCAGACAAGTGGTTCTACCAAAGAATGGTTCAAGAAGAAGAAAGTTCATGTTCTGGAAAGGCCAAGTCAAAGTCCTGATCTTAATCCAATCCAGATGTTGTGGAAGGACCTGAAGTGAGCAGTTAATGTGAGAAAATATTTTTTGTCTAATTTGTTTAACTGGGTTCTCGTCATCTACTTTTAGGACTTGTGTGAAAATCTGATGATGTTTTAGGTCAAATCTATGCAGAAACGTATAAAACTGTAAAGCGTTCACAAACTTTCAAGCACCACTGTTTGAGTTTGCTGTTATTATTATTAGTATTTAATTTTAATATTATGAAATAAGGCTGGTTCTTTCTTTGATTCAGAATGATTTTGAAAAGATTTTATTTGAATTGATCCAGGAATATTTCAAAGAAAACCGAAGAGCGGTGGGAACATTTTTGAAAGTGATTTCCCGATGGTACTTGAAAGCAGCATCTCCGGAAGAATTTGGAGCGACGAGTTGGACTGAGGAGCGTTTAGAAAAGCAAATAAACAGAGTTTAAGCTGATTGTGTGAACGCTTGTGAAGCATTCACTCTATTGTGATCCATTTTTCTTCTGTGTGTTTTTCGACATCTTTCTCGTTCCAAAAGTTCTGTGCTATTTCAACAAATCATAAATCAAAACGTTCAGCTCGTTCAGGACAATCATGCTGTGACTTTTGGTTTTGGTGCAAATTTAGCTTTTTGAAATATTTAGCCTTTTTTCCCTCTCATAGAAAATGAACTGAGCTCATTTTCCATCCTTCAAAATCTTTAGATGTGTTTACAACTTTTTACTGCTCCTTTCACATTTTGTTCGGCTTCTTTGTGCAAATTTAAACTTTTTTCAGCTACTTTGAGCTAATTTCAGCTGTTTTGTGCTCCTTTCAGATTCTTTCAGCTAACTAAAACATTTTTGTGCTTCTTCTAACTTCTTTCTGCTACTTTTTGTTTTTTCTTCTTCTTTCGGCTGCTCCCCTTTTTTAGGGGTTGCCACAGCTAACTAAGTCACGCTTCTTTCTGCTACTATTTAGCTGTTTTTATGCAAATGTTACCTTTTTCAGCTAATTCCACATTTTTTTGCACTCATTTCAACATTTTTCAGGCTAATTCAGCAAAAAAAATGTGCTCACTCCACTTCTTTTTAGTAATTTAAGCTTCTTTCTGCTTTTTTAGCTACTATTCAGCTGGGGGTTTTTATAATTTCAGCTTTTTCCAAATAATTTCCACTTTTTTGTGCTCATTTCTGCTTTTTTCAGCCTAATATGACAAAACTGTTCTCTCTCCACTTCCTTCTGCTAATTTAAACTTGTTCTACCTATCCAGCTAACTCTTTGGCATTTCTTTGCTAATTTCAGCTGTTTTCAGATAAATTCAAAAAAAATTTGTGATAATTTCTGCAACTTTCAACCTAATTTATTCTTTCTACTAATTTCAGCTTGTTTTTGCTAATTTCAGCTTTTTCTGCTATTTCAGGTACTATTTAGCTATTTTTGTGCTAAATTTAGCTTTTTCAGATAATTCCCCTTTTTTAAGGTCATTTCAGCTCTTTCCACTTCCTTGTGGTAGTTTAAGCTTCTTTCTGCACTTTTTTTTAGCTATTTTTCAGCCATGTTTAGTTAATTTCAGCTTTGTAGCTAATTTCCTAATTTTGTGGCTCATTTCTGCTTATTTAAACCTAATTCAGCAAACGCGTTCTTTGCTTTCTTCTGCTTGTTCTTCCACTTCAGCTACATTTCAGCATCTTTTAGCTATTCAGCTGTTTTTCAGCAAATTCCTCAGCAATAAGCATTCACACTGCATTTTCACAGGGAATGAAATTTCTCTAGTTAAGAAATGTTTCTGAAAGGTTTAGCGTTGATTAATCAGAATCTTTGAAAGTTGAAAGACTAAAGATGCTTCAAGTATCGTTAATATTTTGGGAGAAGTTTTAAAAATATCCATCTGTCCATCCAGGTGAGCTGTGCTCACCTGACAGGAAGTTGTTCTGGGCGTCCAGCAGAGCAGCGATGGTCTCCACCCAGGTCAACTTGATGCTGGCAGAGGACGCCTGCAGTGTGAAGCGTTCCGCTGACCCCCGAGACCACAACACAAACTTACAGGGGTCCCCGTCCACACTGTCCTGCATCGCCAGGTAGGTCACCTGATGGGAGCAACAACACAGTGGCCGTTAACGCCTTACGAGTCGACCCCACCCTGCAGTCCTGCTGGTGTGTTCCAGCCTCACCTTGATGCTGTTCTTGAACTGGTACCCGGGGTTGCTGGAGCCTTTCCGCAGCAGCTCACTGAAGATTACGACCTGCTCGAACAGGAACACTCTGCGCTCTTTGCTGCGAGACAGAACTCCTCCATCCTGCTCCCACACGCAAAAGGTTTCCTGCTGCAGCAGCTTCCCGTGAGACGTCAGCTTCCCCTGGACAGAACCAGGTAAGTGCTCGAGTTTAAATACATCCAAGAATATTTTAACTACAGCAAAAGTTCACAGATAAACACTGGATTACATCTGGCCTCAGAAAGACTAAAAAACAGAGCGTCTCGCGAAAGTGAACTGAATGTACATCACTTGGATTTTCAGCCATTTTTAAATGGGGTTAAGTTTTCGAGTGGGGGGTTCTGTTATATTTTTATGCTTCTTTCTTCTAATCATTCCACAATAAGTGTTCACACTGCATGTTAGCAGGAAATGCAAAGTCTCTTAACAGTGTGAATGTTCATGAAGCATCCACACTGTTGTAATCTGTATTTTTTGTACGTTTTTTGGCACAATTCTCGTCCAGCAGTTTTTAAGCTATTTCATCAAATCATAAATCAAAACGTTCAGCTCTTTCAGGACAGTCCTGCTATGATTTTTGGTATTGGTGCAACTTTAGCTTTTTGAAATATTTTGCTTTTTCTGCCATTTTTTCCTCATAGAAAATGAATTGAGCTCATTTTACATCCTTCAAATCTTTAGATCTGTTTACAACCTTTTACTGCTCCTTTAACATTTTGTTCTGCTTCAGCTTCGTTCAGCTTCCTTGTACAAATTTTTAACTTTTTTTCAGCTACTTTCAGCTCATTTCAGTTGGGGTTTTTTTTCAGCTGTTTTGAGCTCTTTTCAGATTCTTTCTGCTAAATACAACATTTTGGGGTTTCTTCTAACTTTTTTCCGGCTAATTTCACCTTGTTTTGCTCTTTTCAGCTTATTTCTGCAAGTTTCAGCTTTTTCTACTTTACTATTTAGCTGATTTTATGTTTAAAAAATTAATCTAATTCCACATTTTTTGCACTCATTTAAACTTTTTCAACCTACTTCAGAAAAAAAGTGCTCTCTCCACTTCCTTCTGGTAATTTAAGCTTCTTTCTGCCTTTTTAGCTACTTTTCAGCTGTTTTGTGTTAATTGCAGCTTTTTTTTTTGTTGATAATTTCCACTTTTTCTTCTCATTTCTGATTCTTTCAGCCTAACTGGGCAAACATTTTTTTTCTGCTTTCTTATAATTTAAACTGGTTCTACCTTATCAGCTACCCTTTTAGCATTATTTAGCTCATTTTAGCTGTTTTCAGATAAATTCAAGTTTTTCATGGCAATTTCTGCTAATTTCATCCTAATTACGTTATTTCTGCTAATTTCAGCTTATGCTCCTTTCAGCTTATTTCTGCTAGTTTCAGCTTTTTTCTTTTTTGCTATTTCAGCTACTAACAGTATTTAGCTGTTTGGTGCACACCATTAGCTTTTTCCAGCTACTTCCACATTCTTGGAACTCATTTCAGCTCTTTCTGCTTCCTTCTAGTAGTTTAAGCTTCTTTTTGCCTTTATCAGCTACTTTCAGCTATTTTATTTAGCTAATTTAAGCTTTTTTATCTAATTTACTAATTTTTGTGCTCATTTCTGATTATTTAAATCTAATTCTGCAAATATGTGTTATTTCTGGTTTTTTCTGCTAAGTTAGGCTTGTCCATCCATTTCAGCTATATTTCAGCATGTTTTTAGCTAATTTCAGCTGTTTTTCCAGCAAGTTCTTCTACAATAAGCATTCACTCTGCATTTTAGCAGGAAATGCAAAGTCTCTAGTTACATTTCATTTTGAATCTTTGGTTAAAACTAATCAAGTCCTTTAAAAAAAGGCAGATGAAACAGGAACCAGTGTTTGACATCAGTGGTCGGACTGGTATGGATGTGTAGAGGGACGTGCAATGAGCTGAAATCAACGTCACCGAGCATCTAAAAGAGCTGCACACATCATGTCTACCTCATATCCCTGCAGGCGTCCCAGATTCATCATGTCGTTGCAGCGTTTAGGAACCAATGACATCAGCTCCACGGCTTTCTGTACACAAAACACATCCACCGACGTTAAATGTTGCAACAGCTGGGGATGTTTAACAGCTGATGATTCACCATCCAGTGCGCATCATTTATTATCTTCCTCACAATGTCGACAGAAACGGTTCTTTGTCTCTGTCGGCTCTTTAAGGCGACCGCGGCTGTCAAAAAGACATGATGTCTTTGTTCTCCGTTAGTTTTATTTATGTGCGACAAATGATGCGACTTATGATTCATACTACAACCTACCACCAGGGGGCGAACTCAATTCCCTTCAAGTATTTGGACTTTTTGGAACTTAAACTGGCTCACCTCGATCTCCTCAGTATCCAGTCCAGCTTTGGATGTATATTTTAGAAAATCCTGGCAGAAACAAACAAAAATTAATTAATCAAAACCAGTAGAAACCAGAATATTTAATGAACGCAAACCTAAACGTCAGAAAAGGATAAAGATAAAAACTCTAAAAAACAAAAACAACATTTTTAAATTTAGACGTTCACGGAGTCTGGTTTGGAGTCGGACCGAGCAGGACTCAGGTTATGTTGGTGCTGAACCAGAACAAACTGGTTCCAGTCAAGTCATCCGTCCCTTATACCCTCTTGTTTTTCTCCAGTGGTCAAGGGTCAAGAGGTGGGCTACATCCTGGACAAGTCATGCTTTGTGAATTCTGAGCCAACACCATCAAGTCCAGAGTTAAGTCTCCTGTGTGACGATTAGAGAAGGAGTCAAGATGAGCAAATCTAAACTCTGGTCCACAGTTAAATAGAAGATCGGCAGGAAGTTTTTTTTTTTTGTTTTTTTTTCAGAGATCATCAAGACTGAATCAATACAGTCAAGTCCTCTGTTAAGTTGCTGCTGATTATTCATGCTGCTGATTTGCTATATTCACACCCATCTGCTCACAACAGACTCATGTTCAGGCTGCTGTTTAATACACCGTGCTATATTATGATGGGGGAGAGAGCGGGCACTGGAGGCCATCTTATCACCAGCAATCTGCTTTTTTCCACTCTGGGAGTGAGCTGTTTGTGGGATTCAGTTTGGTTTGGTGGGCTCCTCAGACTGAAGAAATCCTTTGGATGAAGGACGAAACGTCTCCGCAACAAAAGAAACCATCCAGATGACCTGACTGAGCATTGTTGGATTTATACCTGGATTAATGAGCATGAACTTTGGTCTTATTAGATTATATTATTATTGTTTAGCATATATCTTAGATTCTTGGATACTGTTTTCATTTTTTATTGTTTATTTTATTGCTATTTTGGGGTGTACCGGTAACTGGAACCCTGAGTACGCAGTTTCATTCCACCTCATGTACCACTATGATGCAAGGGACATTAAAGTCACCTTGAAGTTTTTTGTTCAAGGCCAACAGCCTTTGAGGAAATACCAACAACTTCAAAGTCAAAACCTGAAAAGACTAAATTAGGCTCAGAACTAAACAACAACTTAGTTTTGTTCATAAAGTTCAAAACTATTGGGTTCAAAACAAAATAAATGCCAAACTGAACAAGCTTTGATCAATGTTCTTAATCAAAGTCAGTCAGTTTTAACAGAACTAAACATGAAGGCTGGAATCAAGACTAATAAATCTTTAAAAAATAAGAAATATACCTTGTCATTAAGTTAAATATGAAGAAATACTTGGTATACAGTAGTCCCTCGTTTTTCGCAGGGGATCCCCTGAAGCCCCGCGATAAGTGAAAAACTGAGTAGTACAAGTAGTTTATTTTAGTTTATTTATGTATATATATGTGTATATATATATGTATGTATATATGTATATATATGTATATATATGTATATGTATATATATGTATGTGTATATGTATATATATGTATGTATGTATATATGTATATATATGTATGTATATATATGTATGTATATATGTATATATATGTATGTATATATGTATATGTATATATATATATGTATATGTATATGTATATGTATATGTATATATATATATATGTATATGTATATATATATATATGTATATGTATATATATATATATGTATATGTATATGTATATATATATAT